TACATGTTAATACGATGAAGACACTTTTCATTTCATCACGTTTTTCTGGAAATTATAGGTCTCAAATCTTGCCTTGAGATCCTTTCTAAACCTTCCAAGGTACAAGGTCTAAAATCTTAAAGAAAAATTATCCCAACCAACTCTGTAAGAACAAAAAGACAGAAGATTTTTTTAATACAAATTCAGACACAATTAAAAATTTTGAATCAATTACACTTACTATGAAAAAATATAAAAGTCATTAAAAGAAATTATTTTTTAAATAATTAGAATAGCATTTTTTTTTTTTTTTTTTTTCCTAAGAAGTGTTTTGGAAACTTTTGCTTTATAGCATTATTATCTTGTTTATTTTTCAGAATAAAAATATTCTGAAGTCATCAAAATGGAATGTAATGTTATTTTAAAATATGGCAGGAGAAAATAAAAATGTTTTATTTCAACATTATTTCTTAAATGTAATTTTAATATATTATCATTATTTTTATGATATTTATCAATTTATTATGTATCTAAAAAATCCTCAAAAAATTTGCAAATCTCCGAATAAAAATTTTTTAATACAAACTGATCTTAAAATCGTCAAAATACTGATAAGTCGCCAAATTTAGAGCTGAATAATAAAAGAACTAATATCACACAATGCGAATAATTGTTTTTGATGTAATATTTTACGAAATCTTCATTCGCAAAAAACAAATTATTTCAAAATGTTTGTGTTTCATCTGAGGCAGGGCTTCATTTCTAAAACTCGAGTGTCCAACTTTTACATAAATCAGCAGTAAAGAATTTAAACGTTTATCCATCAAATAAATATTTGTCAATACATTCCCAAAAATATTCCTCCAAAATGTTCATTCACATTCAAAATGGCAATTGTAAACAAACATACAAAAATGTCAGATGAGTAAAATTAAGGAAAAAAAAAAAAAAAAACCTAAGGATTGTACAAGCCCTGTGATGGCTATTGTTGCAGATGAGACTCTTTTATTTGTAATATCACATGTGGGTATTTGCTATAGAATGTGTTCAATAGTGCATGTTTATCTGGGAAAATTGAAATGGGAAAAAAATATCTGGGAAAAATTTATTGAATCGTACAGTTGTAGTCTGTTGTTTTATTCAGTACACAATGGATGCTGACATTCAGCTTGTCTTATGTTATTCTGCCTAGCAGATTTCCTGCCCTTAAGGCTGTGTTCAGATGGGGGCATAAAGGGCATAAGTGGTTAAAGCCGAGCTGCGTTGCCAAAGCAACCAGCCTGTGCTACGTCACATAATCTGGTTTAAGGCTCATGGTACAAGGCTCAAGTTTTAAATTTTACAATGAGTTTGGGATAAGCGTCGACCAATCAGAGTGAAGCTAAAATGAAGTGGCTTTTTTAGATGATTTTGCTGTCACATCGAAGGCGACATTTTTTTAAATATGGAGCACATCGTATCCGAATGAGTTGTAATCGTATCTGAACGAAATAATGAGTTGATCTCGCAAGAAATCTACGACGATGACATGCATTTTTTAATTAGTTTTCAGAATAAATTGAAAATAATTGGACTATAAAATAATAAAGTTCTTAAGTGAAAGTTAAGCTCAGGATCATGCACGCTGTGTATGTCCTGTAGATGATTGATACCATCCATTATTTTTCATTTTATTATGAAAATTCTTTAAAAAAGGCATGCTTGCAAAAATTTTATTTTTTCTGTGTAAATTATTATTATTACTTTCTTTCTGTTTGTTATTTTTTATGAATTATTACTATCATTTTCTTCCTATTTAATTATTTTTGTAATTAAGAGTAAACTTATTGAAAAAGCTGGAAATATTGTACTGCTATTTGCTTCAAATGCTGATTTTCTTTCCAAACAAACTTCATGAATTAGTTTTACTAAAACATAAAATCAAGAATCTTTCCCCCCCCTTCTTAATAGTAAAAATATTACTTAAAAAAAAAAAAAAAAAAAAAAAAAAAAAAAAAAAGAAAAAAAAAAAAAAAAAAGAAAAGAAAAAAAATTATTTTCACTTATTTAAGAATAGTCACAACAGTCAATTCAATAGTATAAGCTTTGTATAAGTAATAAAAGATTAATCTTTTGAGATTAATCTTTTTTTATGAATTCCAAGAAGGCAAAAATGTAGTGAAATATCCTTAAAACAACAGTCTAGACAGTTTTGTCTCCTGTTGATGTTCTGTTTTTTAACTACGTTCTGCATGAAAGGAATTTACTTTTAATGAAACTGAATAGCACACATAATTCATAACATGGACTATAATTTAATGAATAGTATTTGTTATTATTATTAACTCTTTATTACTATCATTTGAATGGAATTTTGATCATTAAATTCATGTATTTCTCTGGTAGAAACTCCTGGATAAGGTATGAATGTTTATAATTTTGTTGTATTTGAAGACTTGGGTATCTAAAATTTGTCAATGTGAAATTACTTTTGAGATATTGGTTGTAAATAGAAATGACAGCATATGTTGAAATTAAACTCTTTTTAGTGCTTTAATATGCATATTTGCCAGTGAGTGAAGAACTGTCATAATCTGTCAGCAAATGAAGAATCATTAAAAGTATTGTAAAGAACGCTCCTGAACTCTTGAGAAAAACCTATGATGCTCTCGACCAGAGAGAACTTCGTTAGCGATCTCCTCACACTACGAGGACTGTAATTCATTTTAACACCTATTTTAAAGAACTGTGAATGGCAACGACTTAACTGAGAATTACGCATGCGTAAAGAGATGAGACTTCTGTTGAGACGCCTGTCAGAGAGAGTTTGGGAAGCTCCGCCAGCGAGCTGAGGTGTGGAGACTTTGTCGAGTGATGACGAGTACCATCTTCGTTAACGTCTCTGATTGTGTCACCAGCTCGGATATCTACTAAAGTTTTCTAAATGTATTAATGTTGTATCTGTGATATGTTGTGTTATTAAAAAGTGATGCATCACCAATACCAGTGTTGATTCCGTTTTCACTGAAGCATCCACAACGTCACAGTATTTTCTTCTGACAACACACGTGGAAGAAAGTTACATCTACGACATCTCAGCAGAGCAGAGTTTAATTTGAATTACTCATATGATGTAAACATACCAGTTTGCAGAACTATGCACAAAAATTCCTGAAAGTTAGTGTTTACTATGTACTGTAGTCGAGTGTAAACCTCTTTTTTTTTTTTTTTTCCCAGAAAAAGCATATAAAATTCAGGGGTACGGCTTAGAAATGCAAATTATTAGAAATAGATGTATATACATCTGGCAACACAGCAAAATGTATTTAATGATTGAGCATAAAATACATTGTTGGGTGAATGTTTCATAGTATTGTACTAGTTGTGGTTGCTGGTGATGGTGACCAGTTGTGGGATACTAGTACTAATAATAATTGATAATGGTAGTGCAGCCAACTACTGTATTGATCGACAGTGACAGTGAATAAGGAGTGCTAAGCACAGAAACATGTTCCTTTTGATTGAAAATTAAAAGAAAATAATAATAATGTATGGTTAGTACTGTTTTCCGCTTAACTGCTTTCATACCTGCAAAATGGAAAAATGTTATATACAGGCTACCTGTCACTTATCCTCAAGATTTTTATTTTAACTAGGCATATTTAGAATATCGTCTTTCTCCTAAGAGAAATTATATATAAAAATTGAAGACGTTTTTATATATATAAGTATGCATGTGCATGTTTATCGTATAGAGAGTACTACAGTACAATACAGAAATATTTCATATTGCTCTGCACAGAAATATGTGCCAACCAAGTATTGATCTTTCCAAAAAAATATCTCTAGACCATTCTTTTTTTTTTTTTTTTTTTTTTTATTACCTTCTTCTGTTGCCTCTTGGCTTATAAGAAAGGCATATAAAAGAGCATTCTGTTGAGCCAGTAAAACTTTGTAGTGAGCTGAAAAAGCCATGACACAAAATAACGAAAACAAGCAGAGTGAGTGCAGGAAATCAATCGAGCTACAAAACAGTGTGCGAAAGGTGTAGACACATCCACGCATGTGAAAATTTAGCTTCTCTCATTAGCCACAGCTTAGACACCCATCTCACAGGTGTGAACGGAACTCCCGTATTTTATGCCCTTGTGACTATGCCTCTATGCTCTTTATGCTGCCATCTGAACGCAGCTTAATGGCTCAAATTTGATTGGTAATTTTTACGACCAACACCAGTTCCAGTGTAAATGTTTTTCAGTAGTCTCTTTTATGGGAACATGTATGATATAAATTATAAACATGGCCAATTACTATTTTCAACTTACAGGAGTTCTGCATCCTTTCAACTATGTTTTTTATTCAAACCATTAATAGCAGATTTAAAACATAGTAAAATACTTATTTTAATATCTTGCAATAAAATATAGATCTTTTATATAGCTAATGTTCTCCAATTCTGCTGTTATATACATAATTTAAGGTATTTGTGCTAAGCTAGAATTTACTGCCATCATCAACTTCAAAAAGGATTACTATGTAGTAATGAATTACTCAGTTTGTATTACAGTCCAAAGTAAATTTGAAGTTACAGACAGAAAGTTTTCTTATTTAATTTATACTCAAAAACATTTCAATGCTGAAGTACATGCAGCATTAATATCTAAAACCTCTTGCCTTCAAACAGATGGATGCATGATTCTGTCCTCATAATCGAACCCATGGCATTTGTCTGAAAACTGAAATCTCTTATCAGGAAGTGATAGACAGATTCCTTTATTATGTTACATAGCTCATCATAATTATTTGCACAAATTTTCTTGATTTTACCAAGTGTGCTCATCTAAACTCATGAAATAAACCTTAAGGTTATAAATAACTTTTGCACACAAACTGATACACAACACATGCAAAGCCACTTAAACACATAAATACAAATTTTTTGAAAATTCCAAGAAGTTATGGAAATTTCTAGAAGCTTGCCCAAATTTGCCAAACAAACACACATTAAAAAATATCACTAAAATGTAAAAATAAATACGTACCTCTTTGTAATTCTGGAACGGTTGAGCAGCGGGCACGGGATAAAGAATCAGAATAAACACGGTTTCCAAGAGGAAGAGGCAGATGCTCTTCCCTAGAAAGTAGAAACTGTTTGCTTTGGTTCACAAGTTCTTCATAATTATCAACTGTGTATGAGTAGCTGTCAACTTTATGCTTTAATGATCCTAAAACCTAAAATTTAAAACTTATATTTACAAGAGCTTTCTTTCACATTATATCATCTAGTTTTGAGCTACTTATAACATTGTAATGATTTTCAGAAATTAATTATGAAACTGTTTAATATACACATGTAAATAACTTTCAAATTAAACAACCCAACTGCTACTATAGAAGATATGAAAAATATATATATCTGCTAAAAATAAATATTTTTATAAAATTATATTAGGTATTTTTTTCACTTTTTAAATGTAGAGAAGGTATATAACATTCCCATGTTAGACTAGATGTATACTGATCTAGTACCCCATAAAATATTTTGCTATTTCACCCAAACCATCCCTATAAATAATCCCTTCTGATAAACCATATTAAACTTTAAAAGAGCGCTCTTGGGCAATCATTAAAATATGACTTAATTTATCTATTTATGTGCATAAAACTGAGCCTTTTTTATGTTATATTGTTTGTTTACTTGCATAAAATTGAGCCTTTTTTATGCTACATTATTTGATTCTTGAAAGTTTAAAAATTAAAAATTTGAGCTCATTCGGAAATATGGATAACATTAACAAACTGTATGCAGGATGATAAAATTCTGTAACGCAATGACATAGTGATAAAACTGTGGAAAATTATTTGTATGAATTTTAAATTAAAATGGAGATTACACATCTTTCTCATTTTTATATCTTTTCAGAATGGTCCAATGAAAGACGTATAACCGTGCATTAATGTATTTTCTCTTTTAATGCAGAATGAATTTTTAAACGCATCATGATGAATACTGGGTCACAAAGTATTCTTTGGGACGAAATGCTATTCAAATACATATAATCAAATTTAAAAAAAATATATCAGGGTTGCCACTCAAACAGGAGAATGAAATTCCCTGACTTTTCCAGGTTTTCCAGGTGCGTTTCAAGAAAATTCCAGTCTATCCGTGTAATGTACGTTGGCTACGCTAAGAGGTAAATTATGGTATTACTTGTATTATGTAGAAAATTCACTTAATTATTCAATAAATCCCAGAGGACATTTATTCTTAATTATTCTTGGTATACTCTGTTTGATCATTTTGTTTACTTTTCCACTTAAGAAACTTAATAAAATTTAAGATATATACATTGGATAACAAATGTATGTTTTATTTTAATTATTACTCATGATCATCACCAGTTCAACACACGAGGCTAATCTGGTCCTTATAAATCACAACGCAATGCTAAATAGTTAGGTTAGATTTTAGGTAAATTTAATTTGTGTGAGGTATGTTCTTAAAAAGCACCTTAACACTTGAAAACACAAATATAATTATAATAGTTGTTGTTTTCTCCATTGAAGATTGAGATTAGAATCTTCCCAATCTGGAATAAAATAATAAGGCTTTTTTTTTTGCAGACATTCTGCAGCTAAACGAAAGAAAGAAATCTATTTTAATAAATTGAGGTATTTTATATTTAGTTCGCAGCATACATAAGAAAAAATATGTGCATTAAATTTCGTGATGGTATGTCATCATACTGCTAGAATTAATTTCAAGATTATGCCAGAGAAAATTTCCTGAAATTTTAGAAATATTATTTACTAATAATTAATAAATTTAGAGGGAAGAAGCATCATTAAATTTTACGAATAACATAAAAATAAAGATAATTACTTAAAAATTGAATTAGAATAATCAACGATATTTTAGCGAATATAGTTATATTACATGGTTAGCCTAGATGACAGATTACTATTTTTTATTTTACTGCAAAATGGCAAGGTATTTATTAAAAAGATTTTGCGGTAAAATTCTAGTATACGGTAAGGCTTTGGCACGATTTTGAAAATTGTCGCCAAGACCAAAATGACCCGTTTTTACTGCGCATCATCATGTCGCCAAATCCATACATGGAGATTATTTTAACCAAAAAACGTCTATGCAAAGAATCTCTAATTCTTTGGTCTATGTAAAGAAGAAAATTTTCCATACAAGTTAAATGCTATTACGCCGCTAGAATGCGGAGGGAAAATTTGCCAAGGGATTTGGCGACGGAACCTGGCGGCCAGAATTTCCCTCTCCGCGATGTGTACCGGAAATTGAGAAACGTGTTAAGAACAAACGTTCTTTGACAAAAAGAAAGCTACGAAAATCCGTTTTAAATTATTGCGAAAAATCCAAGAAGAAACGTTTTATCAAAGGACGTTTCTTCTTCGATTTTTCGCAATAATTTTAAAAACGGATTTTCGTAGTTTCCCCCCCCCCTGAAAATTACTAACCTATGAATTAATTTACTTGCGCCAAAAAATATTTTCTTTTAATTTGGAGTTTAACTACTTGCACTAAGACTAAACTTCACGGTTGCGGTGCCGTGCGCTACAATATAGCAAGTGGTAAAGCGTCTCATTTACGCCGCTCCGCATCTGCGAGTGCAATCCAGAGCTGTAACTCGAGAAATACACAATCTCGTTGTTAGGCGACGTGTGCACCATGTTATTTTCATTTTTGCGATAAATGCTTATCGACGTGGTGTTCACGTCGCTCGCAGTTTGAGACAAAAGGCACGTCTTTTTAGCGCAAGTGGTTAAAGAAATTTTAAAGGATATTCATTTAATGAACTCTTGATAACGTGACCTTCGACACCGGTTTCCAGCTTTGGCGGCAGATATATCACGCATGCACAGCTGTTTCCCTCTATGATGGAACGGAACCACGTCTGTTGCAGAGAGGTTTTCCTTCTTTACAATACATATTCTTTGATTCTAACCTCCATGGTACCGTATACTAAGATTAAACCCATTTTGTTTTATACGAGAACATGTACTTTCTTTAGTTCATGCACTGCACATGCGATTCTCGAGAATACTGGAAACCAAAAGTTGCGGGAAAGTTGCTTTGCCTTTCTAAAAGGCAATCAAATTGGAGATGCGAAAATTGGCTCTATGCCAGCAGACACTCACGTGATAGGCAATTCGCCAAAAAAGTTATCTCTTCCGACGTCGGCGCAAAAATCGCTTTTTTGGCGGAATCATTGTATGAACTTCCCTGACTTTTCCAGATTTTGACAAAAATACTTAAATTCCCTGACTTTTCCCTGAATTTTTTGGTCAATTTTCGAATTCCCTGACTTTTCCCGGTTCTCCAGGTAGCGTGGCAACCCTGATATATATATGTAAGATAAAACATATGTGAATCAAAATTATAATTCAAACTAACGATAAAACATTAATTCTTCCTCTCTATTCTAAAACTCGTAATAACTTCTCTGCATTGCGTCATTGCTAGATCTTTCCTTTCCTCTCTTTTTTGCATGGCCTACGCAGAGCTAATGACATAATAACTGGAAACTGACACTACCATTGTAAACCAAAACTTTTCTCTTCGCGTGCTTCCATCTTGCATAACTACGCACTTCAGCTTTGCTCTCTATCTCAACAATATAAAAAATGTAAATCTTCTGTGGAAAGGCACGATTAGGGTGCCAGTGATCTGTGGCAACATAATGTCAATTGGAAATAAAAAAGGAATTAAAATAGCCTCAACTGCCAAGTTTTATTTACAAAGTCAACACGAAGCTACATTACATTAGCTTATGACGAAATCAGAATACTTCCTCTTCAATATAGGATAACTACGCATCAACAGTGCTCCATCTTTTCCTTGCTTTTATTATATAATATATAGCACAAAGTCTGTAATCCGGACTTGTCGGGACTTTGGTGATTCCAGATTATAGATCATCAATTAAAATCTGGTAAGATGGCATGCAGAAATGAAACCGTAATTTATGAAATAAAGAGCGATCTAAAGGGTATCAAAATTAAAAAAAAAAAAAAAAAAAAAAAAAAAAAAAAAAAAAAAACTTAATATTTGTTTACTTTATTAAACATTTCTTTCAATTTAAGTTGTTTAAGTTGCTTTGTTTTTTTGTGCTAATACTTTCTCTTTAATTCTATAAACAGACAAAATTTCTTGTTCAGTTACAAAGTTCCACTGTTCAAGTCCTATAATTGCTGTGTCGAGAATACCGACTAACTTGTCAATTGAAATACCTCTCTGTCACTTTCTTCACTATTGGAAGTGTGCATGGGTAAACGCTTTACCTGCATGTGTAAACGCATTACGCACATGCGTAAGTTTGTGGCTTTGAGGTCCGGATTATAGATCATTCTGGATAATGGATGTCTGAATTACGGACTTTGTACTGTATATGAATAAACATGCTTAAAGTACACAACGCGAATGAATAAACAAACATTTTTAAAATAACTATTTGAAGGACCAAGTTCCAACCAAGTAACTCAAATACTTAAAATAAAACTAAATTAAAAAAATAACAACCACTGTGATTAAAAAATATAATATAAAGTAGAAGCAAAGGAGAACCAATACTTTTTTTCTGCTCACGCAAAATTAAAGTGAAACATTACTGACCACAAACTGAATTACGTTCATATTAAGATAATATACTGTGCCTATTAATAAAATAAAAAAAAATTAATTTTACTTTCTTTTTAATTGCAATTAAACTTGGCCTTCTAAATCTAACTCCATCTTTATTTAAAAATATGTATGAAAATTGTGTAATGTTTTTTGTATTCTTTTCAGAAAGTGCAAAAACTGTGCCGAGATAAATTTTTGAATAAATTCTTAAATTTCATACCAAGACTTTAGGGAAAATTTGAATCATAGAATCGAAATATGGAAAAAAATTGTCCTATCATTTCAGAAAAGATTGATTTTGTGTCAAAATACGTATCGCGTTTCTGGGATAAGAAAAATGCCAGTTGAATTTCATCATCCAGAATGGAAGGTAAAATACTGTCCCTTCTTTTGGTCCTTTTTTTACCTTAAAATCTCAAAAAGAATGAAGGCATTTAATTAAATTAGAGTTAGATGCACTCTTCAATCTGACATTCATATTCTTAAATTTCCCAGTTAAAACTACCATCTCCTTAACCCTCTGAGCGGCAAGGGTTTTTGGATTTGTGATGAAGACCTGTAGTTATGCAGCATTTATTAG